GAATCTTCATTGTACTTCATAACTGAGCCGGTGTGTGGGACTGTAGGTGCCCCCATTTGTTCTATAAACTGGGCTCCAAAGTCCCTTTGCAAACGTGTTTCATGTACTGTAATGTGCCTGTCTCGTTCAATCGGAGCTCCTTCACATACTGAACAAGCTATTCTGGAAGAAAGGTCACTTTAAACTAGGCTAAAGGCTCTGTTCACATGAGCTGTGTGTCTGTAAGGATTTATTTGGTGACAATACTGGCTTAAGTAATTCTGGCTTTTTTTCCTGCCACCTCCCTCTCTTCCCACCAATTGTTCTTGCGCCACTCCCTGCACTGTGACAGCAGAGCTGTTTGTGTACTACTTTATGAACAAACAAGGGAACTGATCTAATACAACAAAATAGAGATGTGCTCCTTGTTTTCTTCTGCCAGTTCACTTGACTTGTGTGATTCTTTACACAGCTATGTAAATCACTCATTGGCAGAGAATAGAAGGGCAGGTGGAAGCAGGAGAAATTAGGTGGATAGGGTGGGATGGGACTGGCTGAGCCACACTGTTGCTGATCATGAAGCCACAGACTGAGATGATACTTTACTGACACAAAAATGCACGCTGCCCCTCTGTCATCATGGCAGCATAGCTGTTAGAGCAGCATAGAGAATCCTACACCTTGGGTCAAACCCTTTCAACACTGAAGATAAACCATGAACTGAAGTGGCACACAGGCAGATTTCAGGACATTGCTGAGCTGCAGCTCACCATTACCATCGGGATGAGATCTTGTTTCTCTGCCATCTTTCACTCCTGGCTGCAGCTTCCTTTCTGGTGGTTATCAGAGAATTTGTGTTTGTCTGGTTTTGCCCATTAGCTAAAGACAAAGGATCAAGTTACTTCGTGCTTGATCAATTTTCTTCTGGGTTAGTGAGCTGAACTTGCTCATTGAGAGTGTTTTGAAAAGCAAAGCCCATGGAAGAGCAGTGGTGGAAAACCAGAATTAGGAACATGAAAAAGCTTGAGAAAGGGGGGTGGGTGAGATATCCTTCCTTCAGTATCACTGAGCTGTCAGATCAATTCAGCTGTCTTGTCTTCTGATTCAGATACATCTTCCATTTTTATGCAGGTTGTTAGCTCTAGCAGATGGATAACGTATATAAGTTTTATCCATGTCATCTTGAACTTCTGCAGCAAGATTTAAATGTATGAGCTGTTCCTTGCTTTCAGAGTATGAGTCAGCCAAAGGTTTGACCCATTAATCTTTCAAAAGTGAGAGGGGGGAAAAGACTGCAGCCTTTTCTGGCTGTCGCACTCCCATTACACAAAAGGGATGCTACTTCATTTTCATGTGGATGCTTTTGCAATTGGTTTCTAATGCTGCTGTTTTCATAAGGCAAAAACTGTGTTAGCAGTCAGACTTAAAAAACTCAACTGGTGGTGTTCTGAAAATTCAGCCATGTTTTCAGACTCTTAATAAAAATACCAGTAAAACAACCTCTGTAATTGGGGATGGACTGACAGGGCTATTGACAATACACGGAGCAGAACAGACTCCACCTAGTTGCCATGGCTATGTTTTCCCGTTGAGCTAATACAATTTTAAAAATTACTTTTATCCAGTTAGTTCAGTAGTTCTGATCTACAGACACATAGAAACAGTTAGTAACAATAATAAGAAACACTTTTTATAGAGCAGATCCTGGTATCAGGTAATTTAGCTGTGGGGCTATCTCCGCACAGAGGTAAAATACTATGCTACCTAAGGCAGCATAGTATCGAGGCAGCACAAAGACCAGGGCCCCTCTGATGTAGGAGCTCTAAAAAGCTAGACTCAGATGCTTCACTGAGGAACAGGAGAGGATGGAAAAAAAGAGATACTGCCTAGGCAAAATACCTCTCCATGCTCCCTGTGTCAGTGGGATCAAGACACTTGTTATCCAAGCCTCTACTCCTTGATGTCTGCCCACTAGCTCACTATTCCATATATCCCCCATTCCCAGCACAGCACAGCATCTTCATCTTTAAGATGGCAAAATTAAGGGCTACCCACACAGTTAGAAACCCGGAGTTAATTCTAAGACTCTTTAGAACACCACTATCTCTTGCATTTTTTCTCACATATCGTCTCCTGCCTACTCTTGGAGACCAAAGTTTCTCTGCCACCTGGAGCAGCTGGTTGCCAAAATCACCACTAGAAGGCAGAAGGTATGTGGAGTACCTGAAGCATATCAAGGAAGAAAGATGCCAGGGCAGATGTCTTGCTGGACCGGCCATAAACAAAAGTGAACTGGTCAAAGATGTGGCTACAGCAAAGAAAAGACTATAGAGCTGAAAATCTTTAGAGAAATGAGCAAGGCAAGTAGTAGAATCACAACCCTGGACTTCAGGAAAGTAGATTTTAGCCTACTTGGGAATCTTTTTGGCAGAATCCAATTGGTATGGGACTCGGGACAGCTGGTTGATCTTCAAGGAGAAGCTCCTCTAAGACATTAAAGAGCAGTACATTCCAATGTGCAGAAAACCAAGCAAGCAAGGCAGGAGACCAGCATGGATATATTAGGGATTCCCAGCACAAAAAAGAAGTGTATGGAAAGTGGAAGCACAGATGGACTGCCCAAGGAGAATACAGAGACATTGCTTTGGTGGGTAGGGCTGGTGTTAGGAAAGCCAAAGCTCATCTGGAGATGAAACAGACAGAGGAGGGAAGGTTACCAGGAAAGGCTTCTGTAGGTACAGCGGCTGCAAAAGGAAGGCTGAGGAACATATGGATCTGCTGCTCCATGGAGCAGGGGGCAGACACAGTCACAAAGGACATGGACGACGCAAAGGACACAAATTGAAACATGTGAATTTCTGACTAATTACAACTTTAAAAAATTATTACCATGAGGATAATTAAACACTGAACACGGAAGACCACAGTGGCTGCAAAATATCTTATGTTGAAGGAATTTGTAACTGGACTCAAGGAAGCCTTGAGGAACTGACTTTAGCTGGCCCTACTTTGAGCAGGAGTCAGACATTATGAGCTTTGGAGGTTCCTTCCAACCTCCAGGATCCCATGATTCTGTGAAGAAGCTTACCTGATAGAGAATGAATGAAAAGTGTGAGACTGATTTACTTTCAACCCATATATATAAAAAGTATTCAATGTCTCTGAATCATCCAGAAATATTGTGGTATGTATTAAAAAAGAAAACAACAATCCAACACCAGACTGTCTATTAAGACCCCATGTCTTCGATACATTCCAGAGGTTTTTTTTGACATTTATTATTGCAATCCTATAAGAATTCATATTTGGCAGAGTCTTTCCATATATATTAAATCCAGCCTCCCAAGTACCCACCATGTGTTTTTAAAGTACCATTAAATCACTACTTAAAACTGACTGCAGATTTAAAAGAAAAAAATTTCTTGTTCTCCTGTTTTCCTCTATATACTATATCAGGAACCCTATTGCTTCTTAGTTAATATGTGTATGGTATATATATAGCAGTGTTATACTAATTAAACAAATAATGAAATATAATATATTTTTTCATAGTACCCCTCTGGGATATAAGAAAAGCTTCTCACATAGCACTGTTGAGAAACTGAGGCAGAGAAAAGCATGGAGGCTTTCCAAAGAGAATCTCAGCAGAGCACAAATTGGAGCAAATTCCCTGAACTTTCAAGCTTGTGTTTAGCCACACAACTAATTCTTTAAATAGAAGCTACATGACATGTACTATAACATTTGGAAACTGGGCTCCCTTGGTACACCAGCCTTTCATGTCTTTCAAGAAAGCGAAAGAAAAACAAGTGGTTTAGACTAAAAAGTGTCTCCAGAGGGAAGCAGAGCTACCACCTTGGGAGGAAGCTATCACCTTTTCCCCAGCATCTAGAAGATAGGAGAAGGCACAGCCCTGCTGGGACGCAGCCCTTTGCAAGGCAGATGAACTGACTGACTCTGGGAGCGGTGAGGAACCTTTCTGCATGCTGGCCATGAAGCACAGGCCAGCTGAGGCTTCCACTTTCCTCGTGAGCTGGTGAAACGTGGTGGAGTTGAACGTGCAGCTCGGCTGGCCGTCTGGAGCACCTCAGCTGACAGCTGCAGGACAAAGGGGAGCTGTCTTCTCCCCAGCAGCTCTAGGGCACCCACAGGGAGAAGTCCAAAATTCTCTCTGCTGAAAACTTTGTGCCTGCCCTTCTTTCAACAAATCTGCAGCGCAGTCGTGATTTAGTCTTAATTACAAGACACCAGTCTAAAAAAATCCTGCTGTATTTTAGAAACAAGCCTGTATATTTTCCCACAAACACTTCCAACAAAACCTCAATCTTACAGCACAGACCTACGCAGGGCTTTTACCTGCAAACTACCACCTTTTGCTGTATGTTGTGTAATGCTTCATTGAAGCCTACAGTTCTGCAGAACTCAGACTGTTTATTGCTAAAAACACTACATAACACACACCATTTGAAGTATATATCTTCCTCTTTATCTCCGAAGTTCATGTAAGATTAAGTTTCATATACAAGGCACCGCTCACTTCCGTCACTGTCCTCAAAGCTTTTTTGAGACTGGAATGTCTCCCTCAGGGAGAAAAGACTTGTTTCTGCCTCTACAAGAATAGCAGATAAGATGCTGTGCCTGTGGGCAGATTACTTTTCCCCCTTGTTAGAAGTTGGGGGTTTTTTCCTTTTTTTTTTTTTTTTTTTTTTTTTTTTTTTTTTTTTTTTTTTTTTTTTTAATTTTTTGACTTTTCTTAATTTTTATGACTCTGGGACCTGTGGTTTCCGAATAAATAAATGAACAAACAAAAACCTGCAAGTGAATTGTTTGATTTATAGCTGCAGAAGGAGCTTGCCGGAGATTACAGAAGAAGGAAGCAGAGAAGAGCCTGTCTTTCTTATGCGGAAACGCTATTTGCAGACTGAAGGATTTTTGTGGAGTAAGAGAACACCAAAAAAAAAAAAAAAAAAAAAAAACAAGCCCCAGCAAACTCTCAAACTCCTCTTTGGGCGCAAGAAAAGATGGGCAGAGATGTCGCTCACACCCGCGGCGAAAGGGGCTGTTTGTTTCTCCACCACACGCGTGCTCGGGCTACAGCAAGGCAAAGGCCACCGCGCTGTGACACGCGGGCGGATTCTCGGCCGCGCCCCCCGAGACAAGCGGGGTCCCCGCCGCCCGCTGAGGCCCCGGGGCGGCGGGCAGGGCGCTTTTCCAGGAGCGGGCAGGGCACTTTTCCAGGAGCGGGCAGGCCGCTTTTCCAGCGGCGGGAAAGGCGCTGCTCCGCCGGCCCGGCCGCCCCGGCACAGGCAGCGCGGCCGCTTTACGGCACAGCCGTTCTGGCCTCCCGTCCGCGCTTTGCGGCTGCGTGGCTGTGGGTGGGGGGCGGGAAAGATGTCTGAGCGGGGAGAAGCCCCGGCGGCGGCGGCACCGGCGGGAGAGATGCCGGCGAAGAAGCAGAAGCTGAGCAGCGACGAGAACAGTAACCCCGGGGACCTGTCCGGCGACGAGAACGTGAGGCGAGGGGGAGGCGGCACGGGTGGGGGGCTGGTGTGGGGGGAGCGCGCGCGCGCGGCGGGCGCGGGGCCTCGCGCCGGGGGCGGGCGGGAGCGCGGAGGGAGGAGGGGCCGCCCCCACCCGGCCCGGCGGGAGCCGCCGTGAGGGGACATCGCCCACCGGGAACCCGTGTGCCCCGGACGGGAGGCGGGATGAGGGGGGAGGGGGAGAAGAGGGTCTCAGCCCAGCCGTCTCGGCTCGGTGGCCGCCGGAGGGAGGCCCCGCTGGGAGAGGGTCTGGGGGAGAGAGTCCCGCTTTGCCTCCACGTGGGTGAAGGTGGATTTGAGGCCCAAACTGCGAGCGGGCTCTGTCTCAAACTCTGCTTCAAACCGCCAGACTTTTTAAAAAAAAAAAAAATTCCGTGCGAACCAGCAGCATTTTCCATCTTTCTTGCAGTTTTGCATTGTGTGTCTTCACTGTCACGTTGTAGAGTAACATGCAGCAGCACAAGTTTATGTGTGCAGCCTTTTGGTGAATGAGAAGTAGGAGATGTGCTCGTAGGCTACTATGAGCAGAAGGCAGCAAGGATGGGGTCTGTAATCTCTAGGTTAGGTGAAATTCTAGTGTTCAGAGCAAAGGTAATGTGAGTGATGTAGAATAACTTTATACCTGAAAGGTAAACTTAACCTGAGGTATTGAGCACGCACTTTATGTAGCTGCTGGTGTGGAGAGGGGTTGTGTAGTTACTGTGTGTGTGTTTTGTAGTGTGTGGAAGTTTCTTTCTGCACTTATCCAGCAAGGACCACATCCTCCACAACCTTTGGAAGTGGTGCCTGTGAGGAGACAGGCAGGTTTGAGATGTTCCACACTGCTGCTCTTGGGGTTTTTTTTTTCATAGCTCAGCAGCATTTGTGGCTCCAAGTGTAATTTGGTGACAGGCGTTCAGGCTTAATTTGTTGTCAGTATTAGGCTATCACTGAGCATGGAATAGGTTGCCCCATCCCTGGAGGTGTTTAAAGCCAAGCTGGATGTGGCTCTACACAGCTTGGTCTAGTGAAAGGTATCCCTGCCCATGGCAGTGGCTTAGACGATCTTTAAGGTCCCTTCCGTCACAAACCATTATGATTTTACAGTTCCCTGAATCTCTGTTGGTTGCCTCAGTGGTGAAGGGATTCCTTTTTCAAGAGTTTGTTACTGGACTCCACTACTCCTGCAAGATGGGGGAGTCTGTTTAAAAATTGACATAATGGTGTTGATTTGGAGAAAGGGTTTATTTTGCTCTGCAGGTGTCCTGTGTGCAGGTTTGTTGTGAAGGTTATGTGGTGGTTGCAGATACCTGGTGAAGTTGCACCACACCAGCTGCCCGGTGTTCTCACGTTGGCTGTATCTGTCTAGTCCAGAGAAAACCTCAGTCTTGTCAAGTATTAAAATTCTGGCAAGTGCACTTGAAAGATGAGAATTTGGCAAACTCTGAAGTGTTTTTAGGGTAAAGGAGAAGAAACAGGAAAACTTAAAAATTGTTAAATTTGGTTATGAATATTTATGTAGGGTTGGCTCTTTTAGGGGTTCAGTGTGAAGGGAATGACTCCAGATTTGGGCAGTACACTTACAGGGTTGTGTGGTATCTTTCCTCCTTTTTGTCCTCTGAATGTCCTGTTTTTCAGAGTTGTTGGGCGAAGACTAGTACACCTGTTCAGCCTTCTGATAATACAGACATGAAACTGGCACAAAGAATGAATGCTTGGTGGAAATTGGTGTATTAATGTTTGTAGTTGACCTCATTCCATATTCCTAGTGCAGTTCCTAATGCAGCTTCCTGAATCTCCTGCAGTGACAGGCTGTTATCTGCTTCTGTCTCCCTTAGTTCAGCTCCAGAATTTACCTGGCTTGGGATGAGTTGTTTTCCTCCCACTAGTCTGGAAAATGAATGGAATATCTTGCCAGAAAAATTGGGAAAAGTTGATTTTTAACTAGCTGAACGCACTCATACGGAAGCATGGAGTTGGCAGGTGAAGGTGAAGTGCTCTGTGACGGGTGATGCAGGGAAATGTCCTTTTAAACAGTGCCCTGCAGTCAGACCACACAGGAAATTGTAGTTTCTGCTGATTGTCCAAAGCTGATGTAAAATCTCTCAGTGGCTGGATGGGGTGTTTTGTGTATCCCTTTTTTTCTCAATTTTCCCCATTCTTATCTTATGCTGGTGTTTGGAGGGCCAGTTGGATTAGTTAGCTGATCAGAAGTTAGCTTTTAGTGGAAACAAGTAAGTGTCTGTGGGAAAGAGCGGGAGGGAGAGGAGGGACTTTGTCTTCTGATGTTGCTGCTGACCCGCTGCAGAACCGTGCTGTGAGTGGTGCTGCTGAGGGTGTAGAGAAGGCTCAGAATGGCTCGGTTCTTGGTAAGGTCAAGCCTCATGTTTTTACACAAACAACTCTTCTTCAGTAGTTCAGAAGTACTCATTTCATCTGGATCAAAGATGTTTTCTAGGGGAAGCAGCTGCTTTATCTCTAGACATTTTCTCAAGAGCAGTTACCAATATTCTGGAGAAACGTCACTAGATCACAGTTCATATCTCTCCCTCTTGGATTAGTCCTCATGTGATTCATGTTCTGTTTCTAGAGGGGAATGCTATTATGCTGGCATTAGATTTAAAGACATGAATCTAAATAACACCAAGTTCTGGGAGATCTGTTCTTATGAACGACAAAAAGTGAAAAGGCCAAGTGCTGCAAGATTAGTTGAATTTATACAGCAGTTACGATCTCTCTGTGACATTCTATATAATTTGGAATGTTTTCAGGATGATGCTGTTAGTATTGAAAGCGGTACTAACACCGAGCGCCCTGATACGCCAACAAACACTCCTAATGCTCCAGGCAGAAAAAGCTGGGGGAAAGGAAAATGGAAGTCGAAGAAGTGCAAATATTCCTTCAAATGTGTAAATAGCCTAAAGGTATGTATGTGTGAGCTTCGGGGAATGCTGGGCATCACTTACTGGCAGCAGTGTTAATGTTGGCTGTGAGACAGCATCAAGCTAGATAATTTTAAATATCTTTAAGCAATTATGCTCCCTGCTGGTTTGAAGCAGTTACCTTTCTTGCTTGGAATAGCCAAAGTTTTGAAGAAAAAGGATACTAAGAAATAGGAAACAGTATATAGTGCTGCAATTAACCTTGTACAGTTTGCAAAGTTTTGTGTGATGCTATGATTATGTATTTCATTGAAGCTGTAGATGCTAGATATTTATATAAGAAGTCAGATAAACAAATTGAACTAAAACAAAACCTGTGACAATTCCATGCAAAGCACAGAACCTGCACAGGTTTCTCTGTGTGTTGAAAAAAACTCTGAACAAATCAACCCAACAATGTTAGAGTAACTTTTTCCTCACACTTAACCAGATGAGGTATTTTCTGTCCTCTGGCAGTATCATAACTACTGTGTAGTGCAATTTGGTTAATTTCTTGTGAGTGTTGGGACCATGTGTTAGCACCTGATTCAAGCAGTACGTATCTTCCCCTGTAATGCCTGATGGTTTTAAGAGATGTGGATTCATGGTCTTTACTCCCTGTTCTGCTGTTTTACCATAGTGCTGTTTCCTTTGCACTGGTGACAGACTGTGGTGGACTGAACGAGTTTTCTCATTCATGACTATTTTACTCTGTCAGGATGTTCTTCTTTTTTTCATTCCTCAGACTTGTGTGAGATATTTATGTGGCAAGATGGGAGTTACAGCAAAGTGTGAGGATATGTGTAGCTCAGCAGTGGATATTTTCTGCAGAATTGCTCTAAGAGTATTTTTTCATTCCCCCCATGCTTAACTGTGGAGCTGTGCTGATGTGGCTCCTTCTCTGAACTTTGTCTTCAGGCTGCCCTAGTGAAACACTGGGGTACCTGAGTGGGAGGGGATAAAAGGTTTGGAGTATGGAAACCTTCTAAAGGAGCTTTGCCAGTGGAGAAATTGTGATACAAAGTTACACTGACAAAAGTATCTGGGAAACAAATTGATCTTATTGTGTTCTTGAAGTATAAAAATTGCCTCCAGGCCTTTGAGGGTGTAGGAGGAGGGAAGTTGTTTCATTTCACCAAGGTAGGCAGCAGTTCCTGTGATTCGTGTGAATCGCCCCCACGGATGGTGCTATTTGCACCTTCAAGTTATGCTTCAAACAGACACGGGTCTTTGGACACCCAAACTTTTAACGAGTTCTGAGCTTTGTTACTCATACTTGTTTTCAGTCTGCAGACAAAAAGGGTTAGTACTTTCCAAGTGTCTTCTGGGAAAACAAAACATTCCCTCACCCCAATGTCAATCCAGACCCCCCTGTAGGGTGATCCAGAAGACCAAGCTATGAAACTAAGTAATCCCTGACTTCCTTGGATTTGGATCAGGGCTGGGAACAGATTCCTGTGCAAGTGGAATCAAGCTGTGAGGGAGTAAATGTAGCATTTCAATTAAGTGGGGTATTTTTATTAGCTTTTTCCCCATTCCTCTTTGGTCTGAAATTAAAGGTAATAATAAGAAATGTGCATGTTAAGACGAAGACCTAAGTAGCAGCCAAATTTGGTTTTTTTACTTCATGATTGAGGAAGCCTCTCTTCTTTTCCTTTTCCCTTTCTTCCATACTAACTTTGCAGATACTCTGGAGAAAACTCTAATGATTGAATGTTGTATGTGGGTTTAGAAAGACACTTGTGACTCTGAGTACCATGTAATATATCCCCTAGTTTATATGTCTTGGAACTATGCTTTAAGATGCCGGTATTGAAGTTAATAAAGGGTCTCCATGATTAAAAGATCATAGAAATTAATATTCTTTAGGGTGTATAAATTACGTGTTTTTCCACTTTCGTACTTTTGGTTTTCCCCTCTTATTTTGTTTTTTAGCTTTTTCCTTGGGGAAACAAATATGACCATTACTGTCTGCTTTGAGTGTTAAACGATTATGACTCAGCCTGAAGAACTCAGTGCTTGCTAAATATGTGTTCTAAACACTACTTTGGGAGTTATTTTGAATGAAATTTAAGTGTCGGAAAAACAAAAATACAACTTGGAAAATGTCAGGAAATAAAAAGCTTCCTTTTTTCTTTATGGAGTAGTAAGTTACTTGTAAGATGTACTGAAAAATCTTTGCTTTCTGTGGGCTGAATGGAAATAGAGTTTGTAAATGAGCATATACAGCTAACACAGCTAGCACAGTTGCACATCCTCATATATACATATATATTTTGCTGATAGATCTTTCGACAGAAAACTGTGTATATTTTGCTTTGTTGTGCCCCCTTTAAAGCAAGGCAATTATTTTCCCTACCCTTTACTTCTGCTTAGGGTGTGTGCTTAAGTTGTAAGCAGCCCTGTATTGTCTCAGCTTCTACTTGCTGTCCCCTGACCTGGGAACAGTATGCAATGCCATGCAGAATTCTAGCTTGTTGGCGTGTAATGGCAACTAAATGTAACTAAACCCTCTGCCCACAATGGCTTACTTCCACTTCTGGGAACTGGAAATGCACATGTGGGTTGTTGGTTCCCCGCTGGCAGTGTGGGTGACACAGATTAAAAGGCATTCATGCAGGTGATTATTTTTGCCATCATAATGATTTCACTGCTTTCTGTCTAAAACCAGGTCTGATCTTACTTTTTGATTGAACCCAAGTTGGTGTTTAGTGAGTAAGGGTGGAACTCGCCAGTGATTGTTTATTTATTTGCTTCTGTAGCAATAGGTCTGTTTTCTTCTCTGCCTTCTTTCTCTAGTGCATGAAGAACCTGGGTACTTTGGATTTTGTGCCCTTTATTCATAGCAGAGACAAGATGGCATTTCACAATTTTACTTTTGGACGAGTATCTGGGTCACTTCTGTCTGTACAAACCAGTGTCAGATTTGTGTCACATACTTGGCATCTGAGCATAGCCATCCTGTACGGCACCTAGAAGTACAATGTTTTGTAAAACCTCCTTCATTGTTTAGCACTTGGGTCAAAAATTAGAGCAGACAAGTATTTTCGAAATAGCTGTGTGCTGTCTCTGACCACCGGGGATGTTGGGAGTTTAAATAGGAGCAGAGCTTCTGCAGATACCCTGGTATCTTCCTGCAAGAGCCTCTGCTTGGCTGCTTCATCCATTAAACGCCAGCAAAACTGCAATATATACAGCCAGGCTCCTGGAGAGTGTAGCACTTGGTGTGAGAAATGTAGTGTGGGTCAAGTAAGTAGACTAAAGACATTTGTCTTGCAGAGTAATTTTTTCCAGGGAAATAGATTTTCTTTGCAAAGGCTTGCAAAATACTTTAGGTAGGTACTCAAATAAAAAAATATGGAAACAGTATAGCACTGTGTGATGTATCTCTACTTATCACCTTACTCTGGGTCCTACCTAGAAAATAAGAAACTTATTGCAACTTATATAAAATCTGGGTCCTACCTAGAAAATCAGAAACTTATTGCAACTGGAAAAATATCCTATCTTGAGGGCAAAAAACATACTGCTTTTCACTTTCTGTATTTTGTTAAATTTATCAGAAGCAGGGCATATAACAGAGAACAAGCTTGTTCCAGAAAAACAAATGCAAAACCTGCTAATATATGTCTGTAATAAAGCCCTGGGAACCCATGCATTTTACCTGTATTATCTTCATGTGATATGTCAGAAGCACTCACTCTTCAGCAGCAGGAACTCCTTCAAGTAGAAATTTGAAACCAAGTTATTATTAGTGAAAAAACTTTATTAAGCATTTTCAATTTGATCTCTCACAAACAAGACTTAAATACAGTCAAAATTTAAGGCTGCCAAGTAAAATTAATAAATTTATTGCTGAAAAGTAAAATTAATAAATGTATTGCACACAAAAAGCCATGTGTATGCAATATTATGGCTTATGGTTTTCCTCATTCTTCATTTCTAGTTCTACTCTAACACTTTACAAATACTGAATACCTGCTTTTTCCTTCTGTCCTGGGGTTACTAAGACCCCTGCTACTTTTCCCTTTCTTAATATCCTATATCCCTCATCTCATATAGCCATTAGTTTGTGCTTTTGTGTTATGATGGGTAATGCTTTGAGTTAAGCTTTGCACAATTCTTTTTAATCTGTATTGAGCTTTGAAAGTTGTTACCTCTCTTAAGAACTGCAGGAGGGCCTTAATCTCTGAAAGATTTTCTGCTTTCTCTTTCTAGCTCTTCTACTTATTTCTGTTAATAACAGATACTGCCTTTCTCAGTAAATAATGCTATTTAAAATTTTTCCAGACTTCCTTTACTTTTGTTTTTCTAAGGAATGTTAGACTCCCTACTCACACCCCCTCCTTGAATTTATTCTTTGGTTTTGGATAGGCCAGAGCTGCCAGGGCTGGTACTTCTCGTGTTGTCTCTGAAGTGCTGCCATTTGAAGGCTGCTGAACAGCCATCATGAGACACTTCCTTCCTGCCTGCACTGTCCCAGACAGTCCCCTGTGGGGAGGCACTTTAATGAACATTATTCTTGCTGAAAACATCCTGTCAGGACAGGCCAAAATACTGTTATCAATTATTAACAAGCACCACCATATTCATCACAATTCATAAACATACCTCGTTTTTTTTCTCTCGAACTGATGTAAGTTGTATAAAAATAATACTTGGCATTTCTCTGGTAACTATTTGTAAAGGCAGTCTGAAAACATTTTGTAGACATGAACTTTGTAGCAGTATTGTGACACACTGGAGAGAGTTCCTTGTGTCTGTGACAAAGTTACAAGACCTAATTGTAATGTAATAGTTAAATGTGATGCTTCTCCACCCTTATACCAATATAATTCTTCTCTCTCCTTCCCTGTGAAGTTACTTATCCCTTGTGTATAAGTAATTGGGATAGAAAATGTGTAGAAATATGACCTTAGGTGCAGAGGTTGCCTTACTGAAAATTGTAAACCAAAATACTAGAGCTGGAAATACAACTTGGGAGTTCTGCCAGCTTCTAGGCATAACTGAGACAACAGTTCTTCCCATTTACTTTTTCAAAGGTTGGTGGAGAAAGAAAAGGGAGGGGTGTGTTTGTCAGAATATTCCTTTAACCTCCCTTTAAGACAGCCAAGTTAAAATGTGGTGTTACAAAACTATGATTGTTAACTGTTCACTGTCTAAAATTATACTGGCTGTGAATCCATTAGTTTGAGGAGGGAAACTTGTCAGTGAAACTGTTGAATTTCACAGCAATGATATACCTATGGGTTTGGTTGGATTTTTTATCTCTAAACTTGCTTTACATGTATAGGAGGACCATGGCCAGCCTCTGTTTGGAGTCCAGTTTAACTGGCACAGTAAAGAAGGTGATCCTCTTGTTTTTGCCACAGTAGGCAGCAACAGAGTGAGTAATCCGTTTTTCATCATACGCCCTTCTGTGTGGTTCTGCATGCATTCCTGTTTTCAAGCAATCCCTTTACCTGTGTTTGGTATGGACACGCAATACTTAATATAAACAGATGTATTTCTAAGATATGTAGCATCTGTTATCTGGGAGAGCTGCATCCTTTGGATTGTTCTATGAAGTCATCTTAGCTATTTGGTGATTAAGCTATGTAGTAAAGAAAAAAGTCCTACAGTAATATGCATATGGGATAAGGAAAGGAGGTGTACAAATGTATCTTCTCAATAAAGTTACTCTTCATAAATATTGTTATCTAAAAGTACTGTACGCATATATATATACAGGATGAGAACTGCCTGCAACAGTGGCTGGCTTATGCCAGCCAGCTCAGTAGCTAAATTCATGGTCTGTGTGGAGGGAATTTATAGACTTCCTCTGAACAATGTTTGATGTCATTTCAGTCTTGAAAATAACCCCTGAGAAGTGCGTTTTATGCAAGTGTTGTGAATAAATAAGAAGTGTTTTATTTCTAGGTTTGTTCTGCCTGGCAAGTCACCAGAAACACTTACGTTTAAGCAAGGTATCAATGACTCATTACAAGACCAAGTCAAATTAGAGATAACTGCAGTAATTAATTCTAACAAGGGTTTATCTTACTAAGGCAATTCAAATAATAGTCTTCAATATCTGAAAAGGACAGCTGACAAGTCCTGGAATGGTGCTTTACTGAAACTGCGGTGGGCATTCTTTTATCAAACCATTCACCTGGTAAACAAATGGATGATGGATGAAATCTAAACCATAAAGGCACTCTACCTCTCCCCACCAGGCAGTCAATAGATGGGAGCGTGTGATTTCCTTTTGAAATGTCCCAACTAAGCAGCAGTCTCTCTCACTTACTTATTTTTGGTTTGTTTTCTCCAGGTTACTTTATATGAATGTCATTCCCAAGGAGAAATACGTCTGTTGCAGTCTTACGTGGATGCTGATGTATCCTTTTAAGTTAAATACCCGCGTGTTTGCTTCTTCTTTATGAAAAATCAAGAGGCTTTGGAGGAAAAACCATGCAAATGTTTTGTCTGTGATTTAATACTTTGCTCATGTGGTGCATTCTTTATGTTAGGTCCAAGTCTTGCCTCTTTCCCACATCCTAGAATCCCTCCTTTTGAAAAAATGTTAAAAATGTAGACTCAGGGACCAGACTCTATTAAAAATATCTGAAAACTAGTTCTCCATCAGTTTAATCTTCCCAACACTAATATTTGTATAATGTTTCCCTGCTTTACAGTGGTCTCAGTTTCCCTGTGAATTGGAACTGGGTTTAAAGCCTAAGAATGGTGTTTCGTTCTCTGAAGCATTAGTAATTTGTGTTGATCATTTGCAATATACCAGTCATTAACTTGTGAACTCGGTCGTGATTCATTATTCCCAATCAAAGGTGATGCCATGAAAGAGAAGGTCTTCCTTTTCTGTTATGGAATAGAAGTGAGCTACTGTAGAAAAGGTGATGTTGCTGATATCTGCAGGTGTATAATTGAATGTTTGTATTTTTCTTATGGGGTTCAGAAGAGACTCCTGGGCACTTGGATAAAATAGCCGCAGGTTTGTTTAAAATGAAATGTTGTTTAGAAAAAGAAAAAAAAATCTCCTGTTTGTTCTGTGATCCTTAACTTGAGGTATTGTAGGCAGATGAAAATTTCTATACCTGTGCATGGACATATGATAGCAATACAAGCCATCCTCTTCTGGCTGTGGCAGGATCCAGGGGTATTATTAGGATAATTAATCCTATTACAATGCAGTGCATAAAGGTGAGTGTTCAGAACTTTGAGATACAGCTTGTGTTTCAGTAAGGCATCACACTTTTTTCTTCTAAGTACATGTAAACATGAGGGGAAATGGTAACTTGGTCTCTGAATTCTATCCCAGCACTACGTGGGCCATGGAAATGCAATTAATGAACTGAAATTCCATCCAAGAGATCCAAATCTTCTTTTATCTGTAAGCAAAGGTGAGGACAAACCTCTGTTGTTTTTGTATAAAAATGTTGTTTTTGTATAAAGATACTTTGGATTGGAGTTTGGTCTTGAATATGGCCAAAAACCTTACTGATTTTTTTTTTTTTTTTGTGAATGGCACTGAACAAGTTCACTTAGAAAGTTGAGAGTAAATCATGCTTTTACATAGCTATATATTTTATACTTTACTAAATCCATGGCCTACAACCATAACTCCAGCTATGGTGTCAAGGGATTGTAAGTAGTGCTGCTTTTTAGGTAAGAAAAATCCTGAGCCTTGGGTTTGCTCTTTGCTTTCTGACAGTTGAATTTAAATTTTTCAGTTGTTGAATCACGTTGCCATCTAGTGGGGATCTCTTAACATTGTAGACAGCATTCACCATCCTGTTCATGAGGAAAAACGTGGATTGTCTGTTGCTTGGGAACTTTAATTGGACTCTGTAAAAAGCATTTTAGTAAAGGAAGTTGTTGGTGTAGTGTCTTATGGGCTTGTCCAGAAAGTTCTAACAGTCACAACTTCCTGATCTTGACTGTTCTGTTAAGTAAGGGAATGATCTGCCACAAGGAGCTAGCCTCTAGGAATTTTTTAGTTGGAAACATTCACTTAAGGGGAGTTTTGACTTCAGTATATTTGAACTTCCTGATGAAGCTACATGAGAACAGGAGTTGGGAAGCTCTCTGATGCTTGCAATGGTCAAGTTGGTGCTGTGGGTCTGTAAACATCCAGTTTCTGTATATTTTTTAGGTTCTCTTTGTAATAATGTTTTGACATCAGCCATAGTACTACAAGTTTTAATATGCTATCTCTGGACCAGGTGCTTTCACTGAGAAGACATGAGCCAGGAGAATATTTGGGCTGTTAGAACTGCTTGGCTGAGTGATTATTAAAAAAAGAGGAAACTATTTGGGACCGCGTGGCCACCTGATTCCCTTCTGGGATTTTGGGTGTTGCTGTAATTCAATGCAATGTACTTGTGGAATCCAAAAGGGAAACACACTAGAGGTTCCCATTTCCAAACAAGAGATACACTAGAAGTTCTTCATGAGAAATTGTTAAAACTTTATTCAAATAAGTGGATTCATCTGATTGACTTCGGAATACATATTTTTTATGTAAACAGTTTTTCCCTTCCTTACTGACTGTGGTTCACCAAGAATAATGTTCTAAAGGTTAAAGAATGGAAAATCACAACTTTTCTGAATGTTGATGTTAGAATGGCAGAAAGGAATTATAGCATTTTTTGATACATAAAATTGTTCTTATGACTGACTAAAAGCATATTTGTCTGAGATCAGACTTTCCTTTGCTTTTTGGATGATCTAAAGATCCAAGCATGTTTTTGCTAGAAACTGTCCCTAGGGGAGGGGGTGGGCACACTTTTTCAATTACAGAATTACTTTTAGCAGTTACTTAGTTATAATAGCAATTTCAGTTAATGCAGTTCTGTTGTTTCTAACAAAAAAAAAAATTAAGTGCTTTTTTGATGTTGACCTAAACACCTGTTACGCAAAGTGATTAAGCTGAAATATATTATTCAAATGTACATATAAAAAGCAGCATGTAATTCTATTTGTTCTTTATAGATCATGCATTGAGACTGTGGAACATCCAGACAGACACGCTGGTTGCAATATTTGGAGGAGTAGAAGGGCACAGGGATGAGGTGTTAAGTGCAGTAAGTGGAAGATCATGGGGCAGTGATTTAGATTCACAAAGCAACTTTTTTTTTTTTTTTTAGTAAGCAACTTTTTGTCCTCTTGTGCACTGTTTAGATATTATAGCTACTTAAAAATAACCACCTGGAAGTGCATAAATACTGTTTTAAGGGGATAGACAACTTTAAATGTCAGGTGGTTTGATTGATGTGGTCACCTCTTACAGACAGGATCTGTGTGTTTCAGTGGCTGATTTACTCAGGGTGCAGCCTAGAATGAGCAAAATAGGGCTCAGTGGGTCTAGAAAGAGTAAAAACATTTCATGATGGTCCCACTTTTGAAGTTCTTGAGTTCTCATCAAGTCAAAGCAGCATAAGCAAATAAACTTGGAGAGGCACAGTAGTGAAGGAAAGAAGTTTTTTGAGTTAAATTGTTTTTCAGTGGCTGTGAACAGACACTGGTACCCAGCAAACATCAACTAGAATAGTTAACTTTTAATATGCTGTTCTTAAGAACTCTTTCCATTCTGTTGTGTGACCTGTTGTGAAAGGTGAGGGGTGCATCTGTAGGAAACCTGACACTGTATTATTCACCCATGTTGTAGCCCTGGAATTCTGCCAAAGTTGCTCCTAGGGAACTCAGTGAAGCAGGAGAACTAGCTCTAGATTCACTCACTGTCAGTGCTGTTGAATATGTCTCTCTTTCTTGAGAGACACTAAATATAATTATTAAGATGCTGTGCTGCTTTGCAGTAAGCTGGATTACATTCTTAGTGTTTTTCTATTTGAAATACTCAGTTGTATTGCATGCTCTGTGCATAAAATTCTGTTTTGGTGGAAATGATGGAATAATATCTGAGTTGATTAATCCAGCATAGGGTGGGAGTGCTCAAAATTATTTTATATACTTAGGATTACGATCTTCTTGGTGAAAAAATCATGTCCTGTGGGATGGATCACTCTCTAAAACTCTGGAGAATCAATTCCAAGAGAATGATTAATGCTATCAAAGAGTCTTATGAGTACAATCCAAACAAAACCAACAGGTATGTAGTCTTCGTCTCCTTGTCTATCAATGGTCCAGGTTAATTCCTTTCCTTATTGGGAGTCTTTGGGTAGTGACATGGATGTTGAATCTCACTAGATGGTGTGTCTTTTTGTTGTTTGCTTCACTGGAATTTTATTGAATTGATTAAAAAAATCCCAATTTTTTTATTTTTAAATATCTCAATTATTTCTTATTTACTAGACTAGAAAATGTCTAGAATTATTATCTTAAAGATTGTATTTCATGCATTTCAAGATGTCAGTATCTTGTCTTCATATCATCTCATCTCAAAATTTCTAGAGGGCAATCAAATCTGTGTAATTAAATGTGACAAATAATCTTATATTGAGTAGTTAATTATTGTGTATTATTTTACTTTGGGGTGGGGAAAAAGCTGTTTACATAGTAGTAACTTTAATTTTCATCATTCTCTGGTTTGATCTCAGATATGAGTAAATTATCAAGTAAACATAGCAATTAGATACAAGATAAATTCTCCTTTATGAAGTTCTTCAACTTTTTGATCTTAACTTCCAGTTAAACCATTGAGAGAATTGAAGAGTCTAAAACACAGTGAACATGTTCAGCAATGAGACTAGCTGTGAAAATACTCTGGCTTTTTTTGGTAATGTTACCAAATATTAAATGATGCTTTTTAGCGTGCTTTTTAAAAAATGATTATTTTTTTTTAAGTGTGCATTTCTATTTAACAATTTGGATGCCGCAGAAGCAGCATCAGGAAGACTGAGCTTTAATTAGTTCTTGAAGTATTTGGTGACAGGCATTGTATTCAGCATCTGAAGGAGTAGTTTTATTCAGCACTATCTCTGCACAGTCTTTTACGTGGGAAACTTAGTGATTTCACTAGGAATGAGGATGAAAACAAGGACTGTTCCTATTACTATTAAAAAGAAAAACAAGCTGCATACAAAGTCTACTTTGTTACAAAACTGTTAAAAAGCAGGGCTTGTTCTTTTAACATTGAAATATTTTAAAACTGGTTATTAAAAATTACACTTGTGCTTCTGTGTTTGTTTTTCTGAACCTCACTCGGCAATTTTCTCCACAGGCCTTTTGTTTCCCAGAAAATTCACTTTCCTGACTTTTCTACAAGAGACATACATAGAAACTATGTTGACTGTGTACGGTGGTTGGGAGACCTAATTCTTTCCAAGGTAATGCTGCAGCTTTTTGAGCTACATTACATTTATTTGTTGGTCCTGAAGGTCCTAAACTTTAGAAATTTTATTAGCGTGTGGGTCTTAGGTTAAATTACTATCTTGTGTCAAACAATTTTGTGGACTGTGCTGGGAATTTTGTTACGTGTCAGGATGTGTCGGTAAGCAGCTTATACTTAAAAAGCAAAATTCTTACTACAGCTGTACTCGGTTACAGGTAAAGAGTTTCTGGCTAACCAGAATCTGCACGGAACATGTGGAAAGGGGACCTCTAGATACTATTTAGGGATCCTGCTAAAGAGTGAGATGAGGAGTAACCATAATGGAGTAACTTTGATTAATGTATTGTGTCCACTAGTAACATTGGCTTGCAGATATTAAAGCAGGCAGTCAACAGTCTTGATGCCAGCAATTGGTGATGGACTGTCCTGTTAGTCAAAAGGATTGGGTAAACAATCCTCAAACCAATGTAAGTTGAAGCTGCTTATGAAATTGTGTTTGAACACATCTGGGTGACTTCATCTGAAGCGGGTGAGGGAGGGCTCCTGCAGTCCCATTACCTGGCAAAGCTGTGAGGGCATCCGGTTGCCAGCGATGGACTGTGATTATTGTTGGTGATGTGGCCGTGATCTAAGGGCAGAGGTGAGATTTTCAGTTCTGCTTTTCATAGTGTCATGGGGGAAGATGTGAAATGAAATGTTTGCTTCTAGTTGGACTGATTCTGCAGTATAAATTACAGGTAGTTTTTCTTTTCATTGTTTCACTCCAGTCTTGTGAAAATGCCATTGTTTGCTGGAAGCCTGGCAAGATGGAAGATGATATAGATAAAATCAAGCCCAGTGAGTCAAACGTGACCATTCTTGGGAGATTTGATTATAGCCAGTGTGACATATGGTACATGAGATTTTCAATGGATTTCTGGCAAAAGGTACGTGTCTGACTTTGCTGTATTTGAAGGTGTGTAGCTTTTCACTGATTACATGTTTATGGGTACAGGAAGGGTCTTGGTTCATGTGATATTTGAGAAACAGAACAGTTGCTATAAGGGACTTTATATGAACCTGCAGGAGCTCCAGATTTTTCATTCTGGGTTCTGCCTGTGGGAAAAAATTCCACAAAATAAATAATAATTTTCCACCAGAAATAAGTTTCCTGATGTCTTCACCCCCTGTCTGCAGAGATTGATGAAATGGAAGAAAGCAGGCAAATTCTAGAGCCTTTCTGACTCCTCCAACAAACTCATTAAGTCATTCATGTTTCAGTGTTCCCACACAGTTTATCAGCTCTAGAGCCTTTATAAAATTCTGATTTTATTCTTTGAGGGAGTATTTTAAACCTCTTTATCCTCTGCTTTCTTTTTAAGATGCTTGCTCTGGGCAATCAGGTTGGCAAACTTTATGTTTGGGATTTAGAAATAGAGGACCCACATAAAGCCAAGTGAGTACTTTATTTTGTTTTTGCTAAGACAGGGAGTGGGGGTACTTCTTTTTCCTTTCTGATTATAGAGAAATTCTTTACAGTACTACTTACTTTCCATTATAACTAGTAGGGAAATAAACATTGTGAGCTCCTGAAGGTCAATGTTTATTATATCTCACTGATTTATAATTTATATTATAATAATGCCAACAGGTCCCAGTTGGATTATGCTGGTTACCATGTGTAGATATAGTAAAAGGCAATTTATTTCTCACAGAGTTTTCGCTAATTGGGCAGAAATTTTGCAAAGCCATTAGGAGAAGATGTACTAGGTGGGTGTAGCACATGACAAAGGTTAGATAGGTGACAGGACTGGAGTAAAAAAGGAGAGTGTAAATGTGAGCTATGAGCACAGTGTGGAGAAAACACTATGGCTTTCCCCTTCCTCACCTGTGCTGCCAGGCAATTTCACAGATGTCTCTTAGATACATATAGGTACATATGTATGTGTGTAAACATACAAATGCAAAAAAACCCTGAACACAAAAAAAGGCCACAAACAAACCCACTCACAAAAAATATTGTATATAAAATGGATATACACTGTATATCATATACTGGATATACACTGTGTATTATAATATACATATACGTAAAATGGATATACACTGTATATTATAAATACTTAATGCATTTTATTTTTATATACCCTATATATTATACGTATCTCGACATATTTATATATAATCCATGTAAATATGTATATATAAATACATTACTGTATGAAATTCCTGGAAGTGCTACAGTCTTTAATCACATGATTCTGATTTTTCATTCCTAACCCTGTGAAATAACACTGATTATGACATCCTAAGTAATGTAATTCAATAAGCTTTCAATCTTTGCTTCAATCAAAATTGGGTGGATGAGAAACAACTGTGGATGAACAGGAAACTGCTTTCCCAAGTCCTCATCTGGAATACAAAATACACCATGAAGGCCATAATCCTGTTGCCTTCAATTCCTCCTAGGTCACATAAATAAGGGATTACTGAAACAGTGCTCCATAAGGTAGTAGGAAGATTTAACATTGCAGTTCAATAATTTTCTTTTCTTTCTAGGTGTACGACTCTTACTCACCCCAAGTGTGTTGCTGCCATCCGACAGACCAGTTTTAGCAGGGATAGCAGTATCCTTATAGCTGTGTGTGATGATGCCAGTATCTGGCGCTGGGACAGATTACGATAAAGTACTTTTTCTTAATTCATAGAAGAAAATATATTTTCAAATTATAATATAGTCTGTTAACATGCTAGTACAGTAGATGCATTTAGTGTAGACTTTCTCGAAGGTTCGGCAGGCTGGAGCTGGACTTAGTGATGTTTACATTCTGTGTATTGTTCTGCTTGAAATTGCTGCTTTTAATAAAAAGAAGTATTTTTGTAAAGTTTTCTGAATTGTCCCTTTTAATTATTTCCCACATTATTTCACTTATGGCCTAGAAAATTTCTTTGTTAGACTTAACACATGAATGTATGTCAACTTACTAGAAATTTGGTATATTTATGCTTGCAGTTGTATTTTGTGCCTTTCAAAAACCTAATGAAGTTTTTATTCAGGGACTACACAAAGGAAATGCTACTCTTAAGAATATAATGTAAATAATTGTTAATTTCTAAAAATATTTTGAACTCATTCTTTAAGTTAGTTGCAGATTGAAATTGATTTAATTTTTAGTAATCTCAAATTGGAATTTGCTTCTCACCATATTTGTTAATGAATAGGGGGAAAAAACATTAATGGCTTTGTTTTGTGGATCACATTGTTCTGTTGTTTGAATTCTGTCTACTTACTGCATTTATCTAAAAGACAGTTTTTGGAAATATATTTTAATTGCCTTTATTGTCAGTATTCCCAAATAGCCTCCTCAATGTTTTCACTTGCCTTAGGAATAATGAATTCTAAATTCAATAATATTTCATATAAGTTTAAAATGTGTGTACAGTTAATAAAAATGAAAGGGGGACTAGATAAGATGGCAGAAATTATTAGCAGTGATAATCTGTGTTCAAAACACTTGCGTGTATCTTCTCAGTAGGTAGCTGAAATGCTCATGGTCTGTGTTAAGAAAGTGATTCAGGACATTGCTCAGTAGCTGTGTGCACCTGAATGAGGAAGAAAGTAAATAACATTTATTGAGGCTGAACTATTTACACGCTTTTTTTCCCTTTCCCTGCCCTTATCCTTCAACATAACATGTTACTGGAGAAGAATGTTTGGAGTTATGATGTAAATACAAGTACACTGTCATTGTCAGTATTATTGTGTCTTTCTGATCAGTACATTAAGTAGTCCTGTCTGTTGCTGACTTCTTAAGTGCATATCTGACTTTTTATCTTTCAGGATATTGCTTTTTTTCTGTTTGTTATAGTTTGGAAAGCTTGTAAATGCTCTGGTTAGATAAACTACCTGTTCAGTTGGAAGTAATATGACTAAACTAGTTTTGGTTTGTGTCTTTGGGAGCTTGAAAAAATGAAGCCCAGAACAACTGACTGACAAGCAGTTTACAAATTTTAATCTGTAATATTTTCCTTTTTCTTTTTTCCTCTTTTAAATCCTTGATCTTACTGCTGGGGAAGTGCAGTAGTATCACAGGTCTGTCCAAAACTAGTGTTTAATTGAGCTGGATTTTGGACCTTTTTTTTCTGCACAAGCCAAATGGCCAGTATAGCCTTTCTTGTGCCCATGAGTGTCTGGTGAAGAGGACATGGTCAGGAAGCCAAGTGTAAAACCAGAATTGGGCAGAACCATGTAGAAGCCTGAGTACTGGAGGGAGGAGACCAAAATTCTTCCAGAATTGAACACAGATCAGCTGAAGAGGGAGACAGGTGAGACTGGAGCTTGGGGAAAGTGTTTAACTTCCTGCATCTACAGAACTGCTTGCATAGTATGAGCCAGTGTTTGCACAACAGCAGTGATCCACAGACCTCATAGATCATTCTCTGGAAAGTATGAGGGGTTGGCAGAGTCTGAAAAGTTATGGGGCTGGGGTGTTGGGAGAGCACTCCAGAAAGGCAGTGGGAGTGCTCAGGCTTCCTGCAGCCTCCAGGAAACAGCTTTGATTGAATTAGCTGTACTAAGAATGATTGGGTTGGAGGCTTGTGCCACTTAGCCTTTGCAAATGCTTTGCAATAGCATGGCATTGGACTGTCTCCTGTGTTTTCCCATGGCTGGGGTTGAGAGTGAATTGGGATACAAAAGCAGTAGGGATTTCTCAGCCATGGATGTTGTTTTGGGACATAAGTAGTACATTCTGACAAATGAGCTGCTCTGTTTGAGAGGAAGGAAAGGAAGGGTGGTGCTTGACTGGAAAGACGCCTAACAAAGTTAGGATCAGCTTTAACTTCTGTTTTAACTTAGGAATGTGCTGAAGACGGGCCTAGTAAAATGCAGACAAATGTTCCAGGAGCTTTGCCCTGAGAAACCTGGATGGAGCTGAAATCGGATGAACAGTGTTAATGAAGGGAAGGACTTGTGTAAGTAAAGCTGTAACCAAGGGGAGAAAAAATTCTCCTTTACAACAGTCAGCCCCATCTGCATGTAGAGCTAATAATATCTTGAAAATACACAACAGGGGGGAAAAAGTCTCTGTCAACAGTCAGACTGATAAAGCTCAAGTGGATATAAAACTTATGTATTTATTTCATTAGGGTGTTTTCTTTCTACAGTTGCCTAGTTCTAGACTAAAAAAAAAGAAAGATTAAAATTATTGTGTGTCTTCTGGAAGATACAGAGCTATAGAGTTATAATCATTGCAAAAGAATTTAAAGAAGAGTTTAATATTTTCTAAAACCTTTTCACCTTTTAATATATACTTTTGTGAAACATGCCTTAAGTGCTCCAGTGCCTAAATTTTTCAACAATAAAAGTGTGGTTTAACCCAAGTATTGGAGAAACCTACCAAAAATAGTCTGAAAGAACATGTGTTTTTCTCCATTGTCTTCGGGCAACCTTAAGTCTGTTCTTTGGCAAATTCTGTAATTGATCCTTCTGTTCCCCATCTCAAGATAGGTGAGGGAGAGGTAAAGTCAGGCTGATGAGTAACTGCAGTACAGTCAGGAAACTTTCAGAGGCTGCAAGTGTTGTTACAGAGTCTGTTCTTTATGAACTCTGCATGAAGAACATACTAAAATTTGAAGGCTGCTGATTCCCTCAGTTATTGCACACTGCCTATCTCCCTGAAGAGAAAAAAAAAAAAAAAAAAAAAAGCTGAAGTGTAGAGGTACCTGGCAGCCTGTCTTACTCCACCAAGTTTCAGAAACTTAGAAATTGTATAAATGGTAGGCTTGGACTACAGTTCTAACTTTTAGGCAGAGATTTTACCCAGAGACAGCAAGAAGGTTTGTACCACAGCTGGAAGTAGAAATAGAAAACAGATTCCTGATTGTTAAATCAGTGGTTCACTTAAAGGTCTCTTCTCAGAGTATGGTCCTGGTTCCTGGGGTGATGCTCCATCTGGTGGTGAATCAATAAAGAACATTACCACAATGCAGTTTAAATCAGGTTCTTCTTGAGGCTTTTAATGTTAAGCCAAAAAAATTTTATGCAAATATGGATCGAATTTGCGCTTCCTAGTATAGGTAGGAGTGTTTGTTTTCTCTGGTGCATTTCATGCTTATGTTTCACCACTGATTGTATTGGGGAGCTCTGGTTCCATGAATAAATGTAAAGGAATTAACTTCCTTTGCAAGTGCTACAGACACAGGTTCACCTGAGAATGCTTCACTGTCGCCATGAGCTGTGTCAGAAAAATATTTACAATGCAGAAATGAAGCAACTTTCAGAAAACAAATAAACAAATCCTGTGCATAATTAGAATTTTGACTATTTGCCATGAATTTTGCACCTGTTTCTGTATAAGCCAGCAGCAGTATATGCACTTTGTTGCTTCCTGTATTTTTAAATTTTTCTCTGGGCATGGTAGTAAGGTGAGGGCACATGTAGAAAGAGGTAGGGCCCTTGTGACAAGAATTCCCACTCTAACTAACAATTCCTGTTGCCTTGGAAAGGAAAACAATTGGGAAGATGTCCCAAAATGGAGGGAAATATATCTACCCTTGCCATGGTTATGAGTTTGTCATGGAAAGGTGTGTTAGCCTCAAAGCCTAATGATCAGTAGACAGTATTTTATTTTTTTTTTTTACAGGTTTTCTTTAAAACCTGAACTCCCTAGTATCTAGAAACTGGGAATATTACTCTAAATGTAGGAGGATCATTACAAAATAATTTGTATTACATTGAGGTTGTTATTATTACAGGCATTATACCTCTGGCTATACCCGGGGAAAGGAATTTTAGTATTTTGCATGTGGAGAAAAAAAAAAAAGTATATGTATCTATATATAGATATATATAATATGTTAAAGGCAAAATAGATAAATGTATCTATCTTTGTTTTTTGTCAGATTTTTTTCCTATAATCCCCTTCTCCCATTTTACAACCACAATGTTGAGATAAGAAGTATTGTTGGGAGACAGGTTAGACGACCCTGGGGTTTCTTAAGTTAAATTTCCTTAGACAAACTGAATGCCTGTTTCCTCAAGCATCCTAACCAGTGATCATATGATAGGATCTCACAGAGCTAGTGAAACTCACCCACCATAATCCTATGCTTCAAAGCTGAGAAAGAAAAAGCACATATGCTTGAGAAGCACAGTCTGGACATCCACACAACCTGTAGAAATGATTCACAGCAGTTGTGAAAGGCAAAATACTGATACTGAAGGGGGATAGACTGTTCCCTCTGTGAGTTTCTGATCTGTAAGCTCAGTCACAGCAGGAAAGAAAAGTAATTTACAATGATGCTCTCAAGCATGTGCTAGATTCAGTGAGCTCAGAGACAACATCCACTGAACCCACAGTGGCTATAGCACAGGGAGAAGTTCTTAATCTACACTACTGAATTATTCAAACCCCATATAATAGATATTTTCATTTACAGTCCTAATGACTGGAGCAGGGGCAAGAGCAGCCACAGCACTCATGTTGGACTTAGTGATCCCACCCACATGGTCTAGTCTGGCGTGTCTGGCTTCCTGAAACCCAAACAACAATCCCACCAGCATCTGGAATAACCAGAATGCAGCTTTGGTCAGAACAGAAGTAGCTTGTTATAACTAGAAGAGTGAGCAGCAGAGTGACAGCCTGTGCCCAAACAGGGCCCTTGGGTTTAAATACCTATAGTTCTATGACTTGCTCTTCACCAAACCATGTCAGATAGTGAGGGCCATAGAAGTTGCAGCAGGGAGTAGTGACATGAGGATTATTTCATAGAGGGCAGCTCTGGGCAGTCAGATGAGGAAGTTGTAGGTAGTCTCTTACAAATAAATCACTCCTTTGTTAATTAAATTGTGCTGATGGAGTGAGTCTACTACATCATGTAGACACAT